TCAATCAACTAGTATGGCATAAGTTTTGTATTGTATAAATACATTTCATAATAATTTAAGCTTTTCAGTTGACTTGTTTTCTTGATAATTATCATGCATTATCTACTATTCTGTCTTTTGCGTTTTATTAGTGTTTTCATTGTTCTAGAGATACGATTAGCATAGTATTCCGATACTTATTACGTAAGATAGTCCAACAATGCGCTGTAGGCTTATAGGTAAGACTTGACGAAACAATAGATCAATATCGTAGTTAAACGTTTCTTGAGACATTGATATAATTTGTTAATGCAAACATGATATCTTAATGATGATATTTTGTAATCTCTGTATGTCTTATTATTTTGTATTTTTCTTAACGACTCTTAAATAAGAACTGAATTTTGCGATATTACTGTTTAACATTACAATCAATTTGAGGGCAAGACTTGAAACGTGATTTAAGCCAATTCGAGAATCACATCTCCCGAAGTATATTTGGGTTGGTTAACCAGATTATTATATTAAAGAATGAACAAATTTACATTGAATATAGAGATTTTTGCAGTTGAAAACTTTGTAGGAGTCATTGGAGGAGGTAAAATTTACAATATTTGCCAAATGAATCACGGTACTTGGCATCATTCTATTATGATCTCCAATAGAACTTCATGGTCAGATCAGCACACACTGATGTGAATCATACGAAATTGAACCTACAACCGTCACAATTACAGAGATTCGTTTGGTGAGCCTGTCTGGTACGAGAGCTCTTAAGAAACGAAAGATGTTTGCTTGAAAATATTCTGATTATGTACGTTGTCAAAGACTTTTAGAAATCAAAGGGTATTTCATGTTCCTGAATAGATTTCAAGTGAAATTTTCGATTAATATCATTCCGTTTCAGTTAAATGAGAACAGAGGAAATTACTTCATAACTTCAGATGATGTTTAATTAATAGAACTATATAAGTGTACATATTATATACATACATATATCAGGTGTCAACAACAAAAGATAAACTCTTATTCCCTTCTTTCCCTTCCCCTCTTTCGCTTTCTCTCTCTCTGTCTTTCTCTCCCTCTTTTATAAAAATTTTAACCTGGGATGATATTCGAGGCGAAAGTTGAATCCAAAAACTTAGTTATTTTGTTGAAACTGCGTTTGTTTTGGGTTTCATTTGCGCGTTCGAGGCAGCCAGAAGGGGTATATGCGGTTACTTGGCATAGTTATAAGTATATACATACATACCTATGTATGTATATATGTATTTTTGTAAAAACTAAAAAACTTAAATCGAGCCGAGTTTGTGTGATACTTTAAGTGCGCGCGAGTATGAAGCAGCTGGTAGCATAACGCCGCTACTTTCATTTACCTGTCCACCCGCCGCCCACTGGCCACGCCCCCAAGTATTCACATCTTGTAGCTTATCAGCTGTTGCCGCAGCAGCAGCAGCAGCAGCAGCAGCTGCGGTTGGACTTTGAGGTCAAGCTAAGAGCTCTTGGAGCTGCATATGCAGCAGCCAACCACGCCCCTCTTCCCACAGCCTCCTTTCTCTCTATCTCTCTCTCTCTCTTTCCCACATTTTCTAGGTGTTGCCCTTCAGCTCTGCGTGTTTGTGTGTGTGTGTGTGTGTGGCAATGCAATTTTATGGGCAACTGAAGAACACTTCGGTTTGCTTTTGAGGCAATGACTTTTACACATCGCAGCACATGGCTGCCCAACTACGTGTGTGTGTGTAAGCGCTCAATTGTAGCCAGCATCAGCGAGCGCGTGTAAAATCGTAAAGCAACTCACACAATTGACTCGCAACTCGACGTCAAGAAACTTGCCTTACCGGATTTCGGATGCTGACCCAGCTAGCAAACAGACAGCCGCCAATCGCTCCAACCTCCCCACCCCTCACCACACCTCGCCTTCTTCTACCACACAAACAACTCCCCCCTCCACCCCTCGGCTTGTGCCCACAAGCCAGACGCCTACGCTCACACCTGGCATGTGGACTGTGGGCAATAGACAAGCACAGCTTTGCTCTCACTCTCTGTGTGTGCCACTCTTTGCATCTCCACCTCTGTTTCTCTCTCTCCGACTTTCGTTCTCTTTTACACTTTGCCTAGCGTTTTGTGCTCTCCTCTTTGTATTGATTTCGTTTTATACAACAAATTCATGGCTTCGGAATGTTGCCGTTTGGCTCTCTCAATGTATGTGTCTGTGTGTGTGCGTGTGTATGTGTGTTAGCATACAAGTAAGTAATAAGTAACTTCTTTTTCGGCTTTAAGAAGAAAACTGGAAATTCTGGCGCCCATTTTGCTGGATTCTGTGACCCAAAAAAAAAAAGAAGAGAAAAAAAGAAACAGGAAAAAGACCAGAGCTGGGGGCAGGAGAGTATATGTATGTATCAATATACACACACACGCACACACACACACACACACACACGCACGCACATACACAGATGCATAAAATGAAATTATGACAATGTGTCGATGTGGCAGCAGCCGAAAGAAAGCTATTAGAGAAGAGACAAAACAGTCTAGGTGATAAAAGGTGGGGCGAAAAAATGCAGGTATAATAAATTCATAGAACGGCTAAGTTTGTCTTAAGTCGAGCTAAAGGTGTGAAAAAATGTTTATTTCCATAGTTAACAAACAAAAAAGCAACTACAGAGCGAAGAAGGGAAATCTGATTATTTTAAGAAAGAATTTTTAGCTTCATTAAATAGTTTTTGAGACAATTGTGAGTTTATTTTACCCAAGATAGGAAAATAGGTAGAGCTAGAAGAAAATTATCTTCGCTAAATTAGTGAAATTTCATAGAGCTTTACGATTGCCTAAAGCTCCAGCATAGTGTATAGAGCTAGCATGTTGAGAATCAAGTTATCCAGTCAACACAAATATAAAACCTAAGTCGAATTCGTGAAACTTGTATGGATGCGGAACCAGTATAGCTGGGCATTAAAAACATCCAATAAAAATGTACATATGCATAAAAAGAATATATGAGAAAGAACACATTCCATTGTACATATTTATTTATATTTTCAGCTCAACTCTCAATTTCGCTCTTAGCCGTTTCGTGGGAAATTGAATTGTTGGTAAACATAGAGTTAGTTCAAGTATTTTTACTGGGAAAAAGCAACTTTCCATTGATTTAGCTGGAAATGAAATGAAAACGTTTATTGCGTGAAGAAAATTCAGTTTTCGGCTAAATTTAAGTCGATGCATGTGCCGATTCCATTTTGTTTCTATGATAAAGATGTTTACGCCTCCAATTGATGGCCCCATGTGAAAAGCCGCCCCCCAAAAAATTCTTGTCTGCTGCAGTTGGACAGCGACTGTGGCTGCTCAAACTGTGGCTCTTTTGGGCGTTCGACTGTTGGCCCACAATGAAACGCGTTTCGTTTTCAGGTTTGTTTCGAAACTGCCGTTACTCAATGCCACTCCAACTGTAAATAGCTGTTGTTCATCTATTTAATATTGGATACAAATTTATCAATAATATTCATTTAATTTCCCGCAACACTTTTGGCTATTTGTCAATCCATTTTATTCCATGCCCCTCTCTCTCTCTCTCCCTCACTCTTATACATTATGTTAATTTGTTTATCAGGTCAGGTAGTATAATGACGTTAACGAAATGCATGCAAACACGTCAAAAGTGACATCTACATACATATATTCATGCCTGTCCAAAGTCTGAAATAGCACACACACACACACACATGCACGCACATACACAGTTGCATTACCGGCAAGAAAATGTATTAATATTATAAATGTATGTATGTATGTTAAAAACGTTGCTGTGCTGTTCTACAAATGTATCTTAGTGTTGCGCTTATTGCATAAATGCTCTGCTCAGCTGCCCACCTGCCCACCTGCCCTTCGTCACACAACAACAAAACAACAAAAACAGCGAATAAAAACAAAAGCAGAAACAGACACGAAAACGCCGCTGCCGCTGCCGCTGATTCATGGCTTGTGTTTGGCTCTCAGCTGAGCAGCTGCGGCCGACATGGGGCAAACAAAGGTGCGAGCAGCGTGGGGACAGGCTGACACAGTTTGGCAGCCATTGCATGTAGTTTACACTTACTTCAGTTCAACGCCAGCGTCGCATACACATGTGAGTGTATGTGTTTGTATGTGAGCGTGTAAGCAAATCAACTTTTGTACAAGAAACCCGAAAAAAAAACAGGAAAACAAAATAAAGATGCACAAGCACAGAACAGCACAAGAAACGAAAAAAAAAAAAGCCAATGCGCGTTAGAATGAAACGAAACGGCAATGAAACGCTGGCGCAGCCACAGCAGCAGCTAGCGCAGACGTCAACGCACGCGCGCGCGCTCACAGCCAGGCCAGAAAGCGGCACCAAATATATGGAATATGTGGGGCGCGCGGACAGGGGGCGCAAGGCGAAAAGGCAGCCGGCCCGAGACGACAGAAAACGGCACGGCACGGCGCGGTACTGCACGACACAACACGAATGAAAACGAATCGAATTGCAGCAGAACGAACATGCGATGCTCTTGAGACGACGCTACGACAAACGGCGACTGTTGCCACACAACTGATGCGATTAGTTGGCGCTGCACAGCGCCAAAGCCGCAGTTAGCCAGCCCCAAATGAGCAGCGAACAGCGAGTGGAGAGCGGTGAGCGGCGATGCGACGATGCGGCCAGAGCGGGAGCGCAAAGCGTTTGAGGCTGACCACAAAACGATTGCAAAAACAAAAGCGTCACAAAACAGAAGCTGCGCGCGATGCCCAAGCCAGCTTAAGAGAGCCGGAGAGCGAGAAAGGGAGAGAGAGAGGGAGTGAGCGAGCGAGCGAGCGAGTGAATGAACGAGTGAGAGCAACTGTTGAGAGTTGAGAGTACGTAATGAGGTGCTTACAGTTGAGCAGCCACTGCAAGTTGCTAAGCCAAACAGCTGATAGCAGCAGCATTGCCCATAACAGAATGTCAAAATAACAGAATGTTATATGCACTCAAGTAGTTAACACTAGCAGCGCAGTTTTAGCATCACTCTGATTAGATACATATTATCAAAATTAAATTTAATTAAGAACGAAACTTACCCAATCTGGAATCATTTTTCTTGCGCACACGCAAGCAAATTGTGCAGGACTTGATGCACTGAAAAGTGAATTAGGAAATCAGTTAATTTGCCTTCGGTCTAGATCATAACCAAGATCTGATTGCTTACATCGTGGATATGGCGTATGGCTTCCGTGCGTGATATATTATCCAGGCTGAGTCCATTGACCTCGAGTATCTCATCGCCCACTTCCAGATTATCGCGATCGGACGGTGAGCCGTATAATTTAATTTTACCCTCCGCATTCTCAACAAGTATGATAACATAGCCCGATAGTTCGACGACTTGTTGCTGCGAAAGAAAGAGAGAGAGAGATGGGAATGAATCAGTGAGACCGAGAGAGGCAGGTTGAGTGAGAGAGTGAGGAGAGGGCGAATATAATTATATTGTGCTTGTCTAGAAAATGTCCTTGTGCTCAAGTTTTCAATGTTGTCTCATAAAGTCATTTGCATAAATGCTACAAAATGCTCCGGCCAGGGGCCCCAGGTGAGGAACTGACCCAAAAAAAGAAAAGCATAGGAAAAAAGGAATTAATTATACACAAAATGCGGGCCACATTGACTAACTCAGCTCAGCCAAGCTCAACACCTACAGCGCCTCCTGCTCGCCTTCAGCTCCTGCTCCTGCTCCTCCTACGCATTTGCCACAGCAGGAGTCGTAATTTCTGCTTCTATTCCTGCAGCGTAGGCGTTCAATTTGTCCATGTCTTCTTGTGTGTGTGTGTGTGTGTGTGTGTGAAGTTTTTGGACCATTATTGCTTGGGCTGGCTCGTTATGTTAATTACAACAAATTATGCTCGTGTGGCAACGCGTGAGACTAGCCCCAGCCCCACCACCAACAGCCTCAAGCAGCCGCCCCAAAACCCCAAACACAAACATTCGAGAATGCTTAATAACTGTGTCTGTGTGTGCTTGTGTGTGTATGTGTGTGTGTGTGTGTGTGTGTGTGTGTGTGTGTGTGTGTGTGT